TATTACGGAAGATACGGGGGTGTTTCCATAAGAAGTGAGACAAATTCGGATTTTTCAGGACTAAAATTTTTTCAGGAAAAAAGTGTAATCGTAGTAAGTTGTTAGTCCTGATCACGAATCTGAAGAAATTTTGAGCCTATTTTTCCCCCTAATATGTTTTACCGTAAAAATGGGGTGTTCCATCGTTAGTGGCAAACAGTGTATATCATTTTGGCTAACCCCATTCAGGTGGTAGTTGCAATTTGAGCATTTCTATCAGTCCTGAGAGTTTTATCGTTCCACTTCGAATATTACGAGAGATACGGGGGTGTTTCCATAAGAAGTGAGGCAAATTCGAATTTTTCAGGACTAAAATTTTTTCAGGAAAAAAGTGTATTCGTAGTAAGTTGGTAGTCCTGATCACGAATCAGAAGGAATTTTGAACCTATTTTGTCCCCTAATATGTAGTGAGTTGGTAGTCCTGATCACGAATCAGAAGGAATTTTGAGCCTATTTTGCCCCCTAATATGTTTTACCGTAAAAATGGGGTGTTCCATCGCGAGTGGCGGACAGTGAATATCACTTTGGCCAACCCCTTTCAGGTAGTAGGTGCATTTTGAGCATTTCCATCAGTCCAGAGAGTTTCATCATTGTTCTACCTCGAATATTACGGAAGATACGGGGGTATTTCCATGAGAAGTGAGACACACCGTATAAAAGTAGAAATTCCTAAGAGTAACATATTTGAGGTGAAACTAAAATTTGGACATTTATTTTGAAATCAGGGTACGATTTTCAACCTACAGAATATTGTGTTTCATGAAAAAGGAAGTTTTTGGCTTTCTACAACTCCATATTGATACAGAAAAATGTGGGAATCTTCCAAAGAAAGGGAGGTTATAATCAATTTTAAAAGAAGTAACTTCATACATAGATGTGTAGATCATGCAGAAAAGTTACTTTCAGACACAAACTGGAAGAAAAAGCCCTCCTGAAACAGCTACTTTCATATAAATATTGAATTACATGAAAGAAAAATTATTTCGAAACAACAAAACAAATTTTTGTCTATTTTTAAAAATAAAGACAGATAATTCATAAATATAGACAGACATGAGGGTCAAAATTCTAAAAGGTGAAAAGGCACCTACAGGAATATGTACTAGGAACTCTAGCTATTATTCTTACTTTTCTTTTTTGTATAAAAAAACAGTTTTTGCCAAAGTGGAATTTCCCCAAAAACATATTCCATACCTAATTCGTAACACAACCTGTGCATGGTATGGAGCCACTAGCTGAGGTATTCCAAGTATAAGTTTGATATTCCTGAACATAAAACATACGGAATTCAATCTTTTTATTAGGTTTGTACAGTGACTTTTCCAGATTACATTTTAGCCGATAAAAAGTCCAAGAAAATTGATTTCATCTGTACTGTCAATGGATACATCAACACTCATTTTAATTCTGAGAGGATTGCATTTTCTTTGATAGTTATGAAATCGTATAATTTGGGTTTTATGAGCGTTCAAATTCCGAAAATTTGTATTGCACCAGTCCTGCATCAGTTGTAAAGCTTTATCTGTATCTTTTTTGCATATTAAATTCGTTTTTTTGAGAAATCAATGACGTGTCGTCTGCATACATGGTTACATGAACGCCGTTCCAGAAGTTATTCAAATCATTAGAGTACACTATGAATAAAATAGGTCCCAGGATCGATCCTTGTGGTACACCAATATTAATGGCTTCACTCTTTGAGTTGACGAAACCAACCCTTCCAAATTGGATATTTGGAATACATTCGTATTTATGACGGTGTTTCAAAAAAGAGCAAATTCATTCTAATGTCACACCTTTTGATCCATAATTACACAATTTCGATGTTAACTGACTTACATAAAACACTGTCACGTTTACTGGTAGACATCGATGTATCGCCGTAAGACACTTGGCTTAGGGCTACCAATCTGGGTTGGTACTGATTTTGGAAAAAAAAACACATTTCATTCATAAATTACGATTTTTATGTCACGGAATTAGTTTGATCTACATAACGACGTTATCCAAATATCTTCATCATTGGTTTCAGCTTTTTATTTCTCATTTTGTGAGTTCTTGGCCAATTCAAATATCACCAACCAATTTATTTTTCAGGACCTTTTTGCAGCGTTCGAAATAACTTCCTTGAGAGAAACAACACTTGGCGCGAATCAATGGCTGTCAGACAATCATAGACTCCATTTCAACACCAGTTCTTATCTAGAAGATTTACTTCCCAAGAACGACAAAGACGCATCTGCAAGGATCAAATGGAACAGTAGTTTGAAAAACAGAATGATGGATACAAAAGTGGATTCTTTAGACGATCCTATTGGTCTGAAAATAGTTTTGACTGCCATGCAAATTCGTACTTTCATTATAGAAATGGAGAACAAATAGTTAGCTATACAAATTTGAGTTAAAGTTGATTTTAATATATGTTTTGAATCGGTGTTTTATATTTTTTGTGGGTGTCAGTGGCATCGACTACGATGGTCATTATCTTTGTATTCTGGGTAGGTTATGTTGATAATTCCTTGAGCCGCTCCTACCTTCAACACGATCTTGGAATCGCGAACAGGGCAGACTAACCACTGCATCAATTTATCGCTAAATGTTTATATTGTCTCAACTTGCATGAATTCATTGCCCCTATAATGTAATGGAATTCGTCGATACTTGATGAAAATCCATAGCGTATTCACTATAGAATACCTTCCTGAGGCGTGTATATGCTGACTGAATTTGATCAGTACTTTATATAATCATAGAGAGAGAGAGAGAGAGAGAGAGAGAGGTTCCCCAAGAACGCTCAAAACGATACTAGACAATCCGAGTCAAGTCATACAACTCTTCTGTCTGTAGAGTAGGGAGGGGGAGTGTAGATGCACAGAACTTAGGCCATATGTACATCCTTCCGAGGAGTTTTCCTCCTAGGTCATCGTCCATTCTGTCCTTTTCAGGAAGGTGGACAGATCACTAGAATACATCTTCTTTATATCGGCAGGTGTAGGCCAAGAATAGGAATGGCCAGACAACGTCTGGCACCAATCATAGGACGCAAAAGCAACATGGGGTTGAAAGTGAAGTTTCTGATGATTAAAACCGTACTTATGGCCATAATACTGTATACCTGCACTGCCTGGGGCCAGTGCGCACAGACATACAGGAAGAAGATATAGTCGTTTATGAACGCGAGCGTAAGGGCCGCCGTAAACGCACCGTTCCACATCTCCAACAGATTTATATACAGAGACTTAGACCTGGACACGCGATATGTGGACGTGTAAATTAGTGAACACGCAGAAAGCGTGATCGATAGAATCAGATCGCACAACAACCCAGCGCTATGCGATCTACACGATGCGTTGAACATGGATGACCCCAGATTCCGAGAAAGGGATAAACACCCGAGGCTAACAAAACAAAACCAACGACCACCCCCACGAGTCGCTGTCAGGCGACTCAGGCAAGTATAGTACTAATCAGATAAGCTCTCTTTCAGGTAGGTTCGACGTAGAACAACTCGACCGCGATTCAATTCTCCTCAGATTCACTGAGGAACGCCCAACGCTCATAACAACAACCGCCGGTTAGTTTTTGGGGGCCCCCATGCAAAATTCAGTCAGGAATAGTCACGACTAAACATTTATCCGATCGCGGAAGAATAGCACCTAAAGGCTGACTTTCGACCAAAAAGAGGTCAGATGTCAATCTTGCTGAAGTAAATTTTTATTTATTCAATTATTATATTTTTACTTGTAGGTTATTTCACTATCATTTCATTTCAGGTTTATTGTTGCTTAATATAATTGGTTATTTTCAACTATTCTCTTTTTTAATTATTCTTTTTTACTTGTTTCAGGGATTTCAAATCATTGTATATAGTAGACAATGGAAGTCCGAACTAGTGAAATTCATCACGAAACATTGTCAATCACCTTCAAACAAACATAGTATTCACTAATTCAAAAGTAGATATTGTTTACCAATTTTTTTTCTGGATGAAAGGGCGGGGTTCAATTAAGGAGGTTCAATTAAGGAGGTTCAATTAAGGGGTTCACTATAGGTTTTTTTTTTATTCAACCCGAAAACAATCTAATACGATTCACACAAAAATAACGTTATATTGGCGCTTCGGATAAACCCATAATATGATGAAAAGTAGCCAATAACAGTAAACGATTCATCGTTGAAACCGAGCCCAAAAACAAAGAATACGAGATCCAATACGACAACGCTGTTTCGACTCGCATTGGTACCCAACATTTGTGCTTCGCTTAACCAGCACGAATTCACCGCTGGGCTCAATTGTTATTTGAAGGGCAAGCATATGAGTTAGAAAACGCTATGGCATTTTCTCTTACGATGACGCCATTTATAGGATCGCCAGGACTCAATCCACGAATAATATCTAATATATAAATCAAAGTCGCAAAATAGTGGATCGATTTTCATTATTTTCAATTTATTGGATTTGTACTCGCTCGGAATAGCAGAATAACTAATTATACATTTGAAAAAATGAAATTGGGGTAATCACTCTACCGAGTGAGTAGTTTTACTCTAACGAGGAAGCTACGGTGTTGGCGAAACGCGTCTGTAAATAAAAATGTTCGTGATAATTGTGTAATAATATGAGTAGTATGAGTGGCATATATAAAAATAGGAATTACGAATTTTAAATTATTTATTTTCATAGTCTTCATCGATTAGTGATGAAGAAATTAAAATAGTAGTTGAAGTACCCATGGAAATAAGTTTCAATAATCACGAAATTATGAGTTGGGCAAAAGTAAATCTTAAGTAAAAAAGTTTTTCTTTCAGTATTAACGAAGATTCAGAGAGAGAAACAGCCGTCAAGCTAATCAATAAATTCAGATACCTACAGAATTTTCTGTTAGGAAAATTGAACCCACGTAGGTAAACTCTCAACTTTACTGGCCTTATATACATAGATTTCCAATGACTTGATTTACTTCACCCACTCGATCAGACTTTTGTAAAATACTCCTATAATATTTCAGTAATTTTGGTCATATATATTTTTCGTTCCAAGTTCTTTGTTCATCCTCAGTTGATATCATAATAATCTTCAACCATGGTAGATCTGCATAAGAAGTAGCTTGGATTATTTTCAGGTCAATTATCAAAGTTTTGTTTTATTGTTCATGCTAATGTTTTGTTGAAGTGAAAGGATTTGTTACAGAATGATTTTAGATCAAATCACACATTATTACTGTCAACCTGTCACTGAGACACAATAAAAAAAAATATTATTATCGAATCTGCATCAATATTAATATTTGACAGAACTCGTGTCTCGTGTAGTATTAGCTTGTCCGACAAGACGGCAACACCAGTGTATTATTCTGTGGTTTTATGGAAAACGCTCTAAGTCATCATTTCAGTTCTGCATGACGTTTGACTTTTGATGTTTATGTCAACAATAAGAAATGACATCAGCTGTTCAATAATTCAATTAAATTCTAATCCACATCATTTTTAGCAAGTTTCCAATATTCTCTAATTTTTTAAGATGGAAGGTAATAAAGATGAGGCAACCCGTTGCATCGAAATGGCTGAGAAATTCATCAAAGAACAAAACAGAGATAAAGCTGAAAAATTTTTACATAAAGCTGAAAGATTATTTCCAACCCAGAAAGCTAAAGGTATACATTCTTGTTATGAATAATGATACTATGTTTATGTCCTGTGCTTTTAGATCTCCTCATCCAGATCAGTCTGATGGCCCCAAATAAATCTGAACCCACTCAACCTCGAAAGAGGACTGTTCATCAAAAAAGTGAAGACACTGAGAAGAAATCAAAGGATTACACAGAAGAACAGGAAGAGGCTGTTAAACGTATCAAAAAGTGCAAAGATTACTATGAGATTTTAGGGATCAGTAAGGATGCAACTGATTCAGAAATAAAAAAAGCATATAAGAAGCTGGCTTTACAAATGCATCCTGATAAAAATAAGTGTCCAGGTGCCTCTGAAGCATTCAAAGCAGTGGGTTAGTAAATTCCATCATCATCATTGTTTTGTGTAGACAATATGGATGTTAATGACAACTTGATGCAACATTTTATTTACTCAAACTGAATTTATTGGCACTAGGTTGTCAAGTAACAAGTAGAAATTATTAATTACCAAGGAACAATCAGCAAAAACTATAGCATTTATGCCTTTCCAATTGAAAACACACAAAGTAGTTGGCTAGCCTAAGCCGTCAGATGTTTTCCGATAAGAGGAAATATGTCATATTGACTGTAGTATGTGTATATTGTGTAATTTTTCAGAAATCTGAGATAATTGAAATGGACAATGACCCAATAATCAATGTTCTGAAATGGTCCTATCTGATACTAATGAGAAAATTGTAATTAAAGTAAGAAAGTTAAAAGTTCGTCAATTTATATTTTTCACTTGTTACTTGTTAGCTTTTTGGCATGGATATATTCATTGGAAAGGCATATTTTGAAAAACAGGCATATTTTTGTTCTCTATTCAAATATATAAAATTAAACCTTGGCACATTTTTCTTGGATCAACAACATAGTTTGAAACTTCCAGTGCTATTTTATTGTTACTAACGATGATAACCATGTATTCGAGTTGCTGCAGTTGTCGTAATCTAAATTAAAAAATTGCATGGTTTATTTTCTGGCGGAGTCTACCCAGTACAGAATTCTCACCTCAGTGATTAATCGTTTCGCCTTTTCACTTTTCCAGTTTGTGTCTGAAACTTACTTCTTTGCATGATCTACACATCTATGTATACGGTTAATTTTTCAAATTGATTGCTTTTTTCCTTCCTTGGAAGATTCCCACATTTTTTGTACCAAGATGGAGAAGTAGAAGGCCAAAATCTTTCTTTCCCACCATTATCACCTCAATTCAAAGGGTAAGAAATATATAGGGTAATCACATCTTCAGAAACAGTATCGTTTATTAAAATTTTCTGGAATCACTTAAACTATAATTTCCCAATCATGTTTGAAAGTTCCATACTCAAAAAACATAATAACTAATTTTGAATGAACTTATGAAATGGAGCTGTACATGAAACAATAATTGAATTGAGATTTGGTTATTGAATAATTTTACTTCAAAAGAGTATTTGGACTTATTTGAAAAAGTAATTGAATGGAGGATGCTTCTTTTGGAAAGTATTTGAAGTACAAAGTACAAAAAATGTTGACTTTTTAGATTCAAGTAAAATTGTCAATCATACAAATTACAAGATTGCCAATGAAAGGGGAAGTTCAGCTTATGTTGTTTTACAACTTAACCTATCAACTTGAAGTGAAAAAAAATAAGAGGTATATAAAAAGAGAAAAAATAAAGTAAGTAAATGATTACAAGTTAGCTCTAAAGGACATTGCTATATAATATATGTGTGAAATCGACTTGAGTACAAGTAAAACTACAAATAAAAAGGATCTGTATTTACAGTTCAAGTATTTTTCTCAAGTTATCCCCAGTTCTGAAAGGAACTTTTCTCATACTGTTATTATTGAAGATGTCTTCAAAATCATTTTAAATCTTTAAATTTAAAAACAAATCAGTCAGTCTACTAGCATTCAGCTATTTAAGGTACTTTGTATTATATGAAAATGAAGAACTAAAAGAAAAACGAAACAAAATACTAATTGATTTTCGAAAAATAGAAATAGTGACAGTCTAATAACTATAATAGTTATAGGAACTTGAAATTCACTGTTTTTATCAACATATAAGTAAACTAAAATAACTGAAATGTTTTTGCACAATTGTCATTTAATAATCCTTGGTAATGTCCAATTTGCAAAAAGATTTGAAGCAAAATTCAGAGATTTGCAGAAAAAATAATTTGATTCAGAGACTTGAATCTAAGACTCAAAAACTAAAACACGATTTGAAGAGTCAAAGAGAACAATTCAAGATTTAATTCAAGGATTTAAAGACTGAATAACTCAAACTAAGGATATAAAGATTGGAAACAAGGATTTAAGGACTCAAAAGACTTAAGTAATTGTAAATATTTGCCGGGAAAAACTTTTCGACTTTCTACTTCTCTATCATTAAACAAAAATGTGGAAAACTTTCAAAAAAATATAGAAAGAAAATAACTACAATAAATACTAATTGTACAGATATTAAGAGCATTAATAGGAGTTTCATTTAGCTACAAACTGAAAGAATAAACTGTTTCCAAACTGCACATGGACATTGAATTAGGCGAAAGTAAAAATATTCCTTCGAAACAACTACTTGCATATTAACATTGTATTACGAGAAAATCACTTTTCCCCATTCATTTTGGTCTATGCGAATATTTTTTATGAAAATTGAAACAGATATTATTCATAGGAATGCTACGTGATGTGATACATGAAAGGGTATTGATAAAAAATGGAACATCCTCAATGGAGTGCTTCAAAGTTTTGGATAACATTACGTCTTTATGTAACTGAAAGATTCAAATCCCTTCTTGTCACGATGAGGGTACATACACATTAATTCAGTTAGTCAAGGCAGCAAACTACCGTACTGTATCATGGTATAAAATCTGATTTAATATAATCACAAGGAACATAATTGTTTATAGGGATGATGAAAGTAGAAGAGAATATGTAACAAAACATAAGTACATAGTAGAACCAGATGTGATCCAAAAGTATTTCTCATTCATCAAATCAATATTTTGAGGTTGTCATGGCAATTAGAATTTTCAGTAGGTATATGTTTAAATGTTTATATTTACGTTTTTTTAAAAGGATGTAAATAATTATATTTACTTCAAACAATAATTAATCAATGTCCAGTAAATCTCAAGTTTATATAATTTAGTTGTTGGTTCTAGGAATAGCAAGTAGTAATAGTATAAGAGAAATACCATTGAATTTCATAACTTGAATCAACCTAAGAAAGCATTTGAAAATATTTCCTTTCATTCAATTACAAATACTTAGACTATGGGATGATTGAGAAAACTAAACAACTCCACCAGTGATAAGAATTGAACCCACCTATCAGCACTCAAATCCAGTACTCTAACAACTTCACCAAGATGCAGTTTACCAATTAAGTGACTTGAAGCTAAGTACAGCTTGACAAATCTAGGAAGAGACTTGAGAATTATCTCTCTCTCTGTCTCTCTCTCGCTTTCATAGTCTTTTGACAAAGGCACATCTAGTGGGTGAGACCATAACGAAATTCAGAAAGCTCTTCCTACATTTGACAAGTTGTAGGTTTCTCTTATCATTTTGTTATTAAGGAACGAACTTCTGAGAAGTGACATTTTTCTTCCACAGAACAAAATTTTGGTGGGATAAACTCGTTTTCACTTCCCGAGTCCATGTTTCAATTTGTTTTTTGTTATAAATTATACAAACTTTTTTTATTAGCTGAATCCACTATTGCGATCTCGGAAATGGTAAAACCTACAAGTCGGTTAAATCGGACAATAGTTTCCTATTTTCAAGAACTAGAATAGTCTCTTTTCAGATCCAGAACATCAGTAGTTTTTTTTGCCTACTTGTGATTAAAAATGATTGAAACACAACTGTGAAGTTATGAATGTTCTTATCTATGATTGGCCTCCAAAGCCGAGAATACCTACCACAAGTGAGATATGCATCATTTTGCTTACTCAACCATCAGAAAATATTCACATAATTGACGTACTTTTCAATTATCATAGGAAACACATTTTATCACAACTTTGAGCTTTTTCAGCAATTCGATTTCTATCTTCATAATCGTCGCAAAACGCCATCCTCTCAATCGTCTCAGTCTCAGAACGGCATCCTCTCATGGGTCTCTTCAATCTTGGTAACAAGAAAAAATCGCATGGGGCTAAATCTGGTGAATACGGTAGCTGAGGCATGATTACAGTGTTATTTTTGGCCAAAAAATTATGAACAAGCAATGACGAGTAGACAGGTGTATTATCGTGAAGCAAAAGCCACGAAAAGTTTTTCCACAATATCGAACGTTTTGTTCGTATTGCTTCTTGCAAGCAGCACATAACTTTGAGATAATACTCATTATTGACCGTTCGACTACAATAGAATAATACAACCACGTGATCCGCCCGTGTTGCCGGGGACCTTCAACCGCTCTTAGGATGAAGTTCTCATCCAACGCGTTCAGTGCTGTAGTATCGAAGGATTCGACGGTACTACGGGCATCGGATTAGTTATCTATAATAAATGGCCGTAAATTAATATTGTGTTTAGTTTATTCGCTGCTGTTATTATTATTTTTAGTTTTTGTAGTTGGTTATAAGTAACTTACCACAATATCTTCCATAATATCCTTAAATTTCGTTTTTATATGAGAGCACGCCTTTGGTGAAAGAACGAAATTGGTTCCGCACTTCGTTTCGAGGTCACCGAGAACTTTGTGAATTTATGAATGAAAGTAGTGGGAGTGGACTTAGTGGTTGATTTTTACTATGGTTCGACCATGTGGTAAGAATTCCTGGTGCCCTATGCCATCGTCATAGAAGTAAACAGTGAGCAAAACCATGACTTTGATCGAACTTGACATGCTTCATTTGGTTTTAGCTCTCCTAGGCTATTCCATTGAACCATATATATTCATGATTCGTCTTCATTTATGACTCTTTTATGCAAATCAGGATCTCCGTTTACGTCATTTAATAATTCCTTACGATGCTCATACGACGTTTTTTTTGTCATAATTGAGCATTTTTATCGGTTGTTGGTGTTCTGGGACATCCAAGGCAAGCGTCTCGACCTTTTGTGAAAAAATTGTACCACTTTTTAACCATTTTTATGATCACGATACTCCATTGTCAACATATCAAGTGTTGTTTAAAAATCTGTTTCAAATCTGTTTTTCCGTTAATCAGCTGCCGCCCCCATACGAACGACAACTCTCAGAAGTTGAGAAACTTGTGCGAGCTAAGAAAATACCGTTTAAGCAAACTAATGGCTTGAAACGTGTTATAAGGACTGCGTTCCATCAGAAACAATAATCAAACATTGGTTTGCTGACTTCAAACGAGGTTGTAGAGATACCGATGATTCAGAACGCAGTGGGCGTTCCAATGTGGCAGTAAACCCACAAATTGTAAAAAAAAACTACAAAATCGTTTTGAATGATCGAAAAGGGAAGTTGCTTAAGTTAGCTGACATTATAAAGATTTCAAAAAAACGTGTTGGCTTCATATTGCATGAGCATTTGACTATGAGAACAGTGTTTGGCCATGTTTAAACATAACAAACTGGAATTTGCAATCTCTTACTAAGTTATCTCGAGAATCAGGAATCAGTCATACAAATGTTTTCAGGATCCTTCTTAAGTACAAATTTCATCCATATAAGATTAGACTAGTTCATGAATTGAAAGAAGATGATTTCGATAGACGTATCAGCTTGCATCAAGATTTCTTGTATATAATTTGTTTTTCGGATGAATGTATGTTTAGTTTGAATGGTGAGGTGAATCGGCAAATTGTCGATATTGAAGTGATACGAATCTTCGTTTATACGTTCATATGTGACAATGAATGAAACATGGATCCATGGCAATGAATATTATATAGTGTTATTGTAGCGGTTGAAGGCCGAAATTGCAAAGAAACGACCGCATATGGCAAAGAAAAAAATTTGTTTCATCAAGACAACGTACCGTGCCACAAGTCAATGAAAACAATGGAAAACTACATGAGTCTCTAGTTTTAGGTTTATTCTTTCCAAGGTGGGCGTTGCTTCATTTCTATTGGTTACATTAATTGGCATGGTTTGTATACAGTTTACTCCTGGTAGTGAAACTTTATTCATATTAATTCCCTCTTCTTTTCAGTATCTGCATTTCTTAAATTCTATCACCTCCTTATACAGTCTTGGCTAGTAGCTCTAGTTGCTGTCAAGTAATTGGTATCTTCAAACACATAAACGTAAAGTCGTTCAATAAAGACTTAAGCCATTTTATTGAGGAGATAACAGATATGAGGCTTAAGACCAAGAGAACTAGTGAATTTCAATACGGTCTCTTTGTACGAGAGAGGTTCACTCAAAGACACTATACAGATAACTGTGAAAGTTATAATAGTAATATCAATTTCTCACACACGAATACCTGCTGTGTGGACAAAATGAACCAAATTGTGATATTTGTGAAGTTCAACTAACTGTGAAACATATTATAGTGCAATGCCCTCTATTCCAAATTGAGAGAGACACATTTAAGATATCCCCTAACTTGAAAGAAATGTTAGACTATAGTAATAGTAACAAAATCATTCCATTTTTACACACTTTAGATTTAATTAGGAAGTTATAAATGTTATTTATCAACTCCACCGCTAATGACCCAAAGGGTTGATGCGGTTTATTGAAATAAAAAAAAATATCAATTTATATCAATGTGTTACATAGAAAACAAGTGATATTAAATGTGAAATAGAATAGTAAAAGCTAATTACAAATAAAGTACAAGGTCACTTTTAAGTCTGGTATTGTAATTATGTGTGTTCTATTTACTTTGCATATACTAATGTCTTGAAGGTTGAGTTTTTTAAACATGTCTTTGGAAGATTCATTTGGTTCCAAATTGGTCATGATGCATATTGTATATTTTTGTACACTGAATATTCATTCTTTCATAAGAATATTCATTCTTAGTCTCTACAAACACACTAGTGATTAATTCCCAACCTGAAATGAACAAAATGATTATGAAAGTTAGGAAATAAAGATTGTTGATGCTACATTGTATAGAAATAATTCTCAATATAAAAAGGATAAGGATCACTGATGAAATAACTCGAATCATCGGGCATGAAAATATGCAGATCTAACCAAGGAAATAACTTTGAAACATTTATCTCCATTCGGTAATTTGTTTTACTCTTTGGTAAATCAAACCGTTGCACTTTGTTTAATGTTCCATTAGTTTGGAACAGAAGACATTGAACTGAAAGAAAACTAAACTGAGGAGATCAAGTCTGAATGCCAGACCGAAGTTCTAAGAGCATTTAGAGTCAGGCACTTCTTTATTATTTAAGTTCTTTTGTGACTCTTCTATGTGTTTGGAAGTCATAGTTGATTTCGAACTTTTACCAATCTGGTTATTATCTGTCAGTAATTATAAAATTTTGGAAGTTATATCAACAATCTTGATGTTTTTATATTTGAAAATGATGATACTTTCGTTTCAGCAACAAAATGGTTACACCGCTTTCATTCAGATCTTACCCATACTATTGGCCATTTTGCTTTCAATGGCTTCCAGTTTCTTCATATCTGATCCAGCTTACAGCTTACAGGCTAGTTCGTAAGTATTTGATTGTATATCATTAGAAAATTCCGAATTCAGAAGGTAAACAAAACACTGATTGGGTAATATAATAATGTCAAAAATCAATTTTATATAATTGATTCCAGTACAATTTACAATATCTTCCCTATACTTCTAAAATGATTATGAATAGCATGGATGTTTTCTAAAACATATAAGTAATAATAATGTTATTTTTTTCAATCGTGTATGGAGACCAGTATTAATACTACTGTATGCAATCTAGTACCATTTACAATTATTCCATAGCAAATACGTTATAAACACTCACAAAAGCTAACATAACTAATACTCAAATTACACACGTATGATGGTAATTTATTTATTATTTATTATTTGTTCAATTACAATGAAGTAAAATGCCCAGATGAGCGTAGAACATGTCAGTGTAATAAATATATAGTTAAAAACATTTAAAAATTGAAATCAATTAAATGTGAGACATTTTAGCAGGTAAAATCTGAAGGGATGGTATCTTTAAAATATTCATCAGTTGAGTAGTATGCTCTATTTAGAAGAAAGTTTTTAAGTTTATTTTTGAGTGTTGTTTTAGAGAGGCTTCTTAGTGCATTTGGAAGTTTGTTATAGATTTTTATTAGAGTATACGGTATATTTTTCTGAATATAAGTAAAATTAGGAATATTAGTAACCAAATCTGCTTTATTTCTTGTTGGGTAGATGTGTGCTTTATCAAAGTCGTTAAAAAGCTTTGGATTGCTTTTAATAAACATTATGCTGTCAAGAATATACTGACTATATAGGGTCAGTACTTTCTTTTCTATGAATAAAGGTTTACAGCTATCAGTTTGTTTGGATTTATAAATAACTCTAAGGCAACGTTTTTGAAGTGAAAAAATTTTTTTAACGTTCACAGATGCACCCCAAAAAATTAAGCCGTATTTAAGTCTTGAGTGGACTTGTGCATAATAGACAGACATTGACACTTGAACATTTATTGTTTTAGTGATGACTCTTAGGGCATAGCGATGCCTTGCAACATTTTCTGACAAAGTATCCAGATGAGATTTCCAATCCAGTCTAAAATCTAGCTCAATTCCCAGGAATTTTGAACTTTTACTGTTTTAATAAACATTATACAGATAAAACGATTGAAGATAATTCTGATATAATTTGAAAATTGAAAATACATTAAAAAATGTAGAGATCGATGGTGAAGGAGATATTTGTTCAGACCAAATCTACACATCATTAACTTCCAAATGATATTTTGTTTCATCAAGAATGTGAAGGGGTTGCCCTACTTTAACTACAAAATTAGCTAGATGAAGTAGTTTCCTGTCATACATCTTTAACCAATTTAATTATTCAATTTTTCCGATTCGTCCTCATATTTTTTGATGAGTTGATGTAATGAACGTATGAATTTTTTTACTCTTTGTAGTCTTAGTGAGCTATGTACATCTGTGCAGGGACCGTAAACAAAGTCAGCATGAGTCAATTGACTCAAACCTAATGATTCACACAACTGTCGTTTCATAGACCTATTTACAAGGTTTTACTGCAGTACAGATTTCTTTCTCAGTGTCATGTAACTTCTGCTGACAACCGTTTCTATGTGTGTTCAAAAGCATAGATTATTGTCAATATATATACCCAAACTCTTAACCATAACAGTAGATTTCATTGTTACACCATCAATCCTATTACAATAAATATTACTCATTTTAAATGTTTATTTCCAAAGTATATCAACTGGGACTTAGACCCATTCAACTTCAAGCCATGATTTGTGGAATATCTGTATACTTTTTCCAAGGTATCACTCATATTATCGATGCTGATTTTGGCAGAACTATTTGTAAAACAATATTTCAACTCTGTTATAAGTAATTCATGACTCAAAGTGTTGAACTCTTTGCTATAATCAATCAATGCTAAAGCTGTAGTTTGATTCTGATCTGTTGGTTCCAATGTATCGTCTGTGATTTTTGTCAGGACATTTAAGATACTGATTTTTTTTGGGTAGAGAATAAAACCCCTATCAAATGAGCTATCGCTTACCACCCCATACTATTTAAATTTTTAGGAAAGATTAATTGCTGGGATAGAAATGTTCTGGCTTTCTACTTCTCCATCTTTATAAAACATTATTCCAAAATGTCCAAGAAATCTTCCGAAGAAAAGAAAAGCAATGAATTTCAAAATAAACTCTTTACAAAAATGTGTAGATCATGCTTTATCTTTCAGTTTGTGTCTGACAGTTACTTCTTTGCATGACTTACACATCTTTGTGGAGAGTTCGTTTTGAAATCAACTGCTTTCTTCTTTTCTCTGGAAGATTCCTACATTTTTCAAATGAAGATGGAGAAGTAGAAGGCCAAAACATTTCTTTCCCAAAAATTAATCGCTCCCAAAAATATATCCCCTTCAATTCAAATAAGTCTATTGAATTTTAACACTTCAATCAGAACAATGAATTTCAGGTTATTTAGTACAGAATTGCATCATACCAACTATGCCCAAAATAGTCCTATTATAACTGGCTTGGATATTCTCGTGTCACCATAGGAGTTTAAAACTTCTCTTATAAACCCGTTATATTTATGAATTGTTAGAGTATATCTCATACTTTCAGCAATCTCAGTAATCATTGAATATGTATATTTTATCCAACAGTGTAAATATGTGCATCAATAAATGTTTTTTTTTTGTATTTCCAGAAAGTATCCCGTATTAAGAAAGACAATGAATTTGAACGTACCGTATTATGTGAAGGAGAACTTCCACATGGAATATCAAGGTTCTGTCAAGAGGCTAGAGATGTCAGTTGAAGAGGATTATGTGCAGACCCTTAAACACGCTTGCTACAGGGAGAAAAGTTACAGTAAATGCTTTCATTATTTATTTTATAAAGTGTTTTTGGTTGTGGTACATTATTTCCAAACAGTTTCGGATTTATTAGTGAACAAAAATTTTTCTTTCCAAAATTTTTATCAAAATTAAATTCATTTTAGATCAGATCTGTGATATTGGTAAATTTTCTGTGATATTGGTAAATTTTCTGTGATATTTTCAAATTTTTGTATGTAGCTGTAATACATTCTATAGCTACTTCTTTCACTCGTTTTATTTTGGATTTGGCTAAATAATGGAGGCTTATATATAATCTAGTTATCAGAAAAAATCAAGTTACAATTTATTGACCTGAGTTAGAACAAATATTCAAAGGAAATTAAACATATTTTTTTAGTTTTCTTACAGTGATATTTTTCGAGAATTTTTGCAGTGTGGACTGGGATTCGCTTATGTAATAAATTATACATTATACTATATATTTGGAATAAGGTTTTGCTAAATATATCTGAAAATTAATATCATTTTCATCAGAAATCACGGGAATTTATTTCAAATATTTTATTCCATTAATTGCATGGTCATAATGGGCTCATTCAGGCTAATTTAGTTTTTTATTGAAAATTATATATTATGAAAGTAAATCATCTCCCA